TGGTTTGGTCCGACCAAACAGAGGAGGAGGTGTAGATTTCGTGAGGGGGGGCGCTCGAGAAGCAAGACTCCTGCCAGTCCTGGGTAATCCCGCCCGCTTTGTGGCCCGACCAGGCCTGGCCAGGGATTCTCTTCCCCCCGGCTCCTCGACCAGAGGTCGACGAGCCCGAAGAAGGGCTGCCACTCCTGCCAGGGAGTCGCAGGGGCGAGAGGAGGGAGGGGGGGCAGGACCAGCGTCTCCCCCCGAGTCGTGTTTTGACGGCCCAGGGGCCCATGAGCAAAAACCGTCCGTCGTGTCCACTCTTCACGGCAAGAAAAATGCAGCGGGGGGGAGGAGCCGGAGCGGGAGGGGTGGAGGGAGGGGCGGCGGGAGGAGCCACAGCTGGGGGGGGCCAGGCCAGGCCCGCTCCTGCCAGGGCTCGAAGGTCCACCCGCTGGGCAGATAGTGCCAGTGCTTGGCCAGGCATCGACCTAAACAATGTTGTTCGTTTTCGTTGTGTTTTCGCTTTCCCTCTCTTCAGACCAGCTTTGCTGCAAAACGAAGTCGGAACGAAAACGGCCTACGAAGTCGCCAAAACAACGTTTAGGTCGACCCCTGAGCTTGGCGTGGCGGCCCCGCGCCAGCAGGTTGAAGAGCCGGCGGCCCAAAGGTGGGCCCCCGAGAGGCTGGGGCCTCGAGGGACTGGGAGAGGGCTCCCAAGCCGAGCCTTCACTGTCTGAGGCCACGCGTCCTGACAGAGGAAGAGAGCAGGAGCGCTCCAAACAATACACCGCCACAAGCCCTGGCCAGGTCCATCCTGGGCCCTGGACTGGTGTACAGGCCCCCCTGGCCTGCAGGCCTGGAGGTCCGTGCACCAGTCCAGGGCCCAGGATGGACCTGGCCAGGGCTGCTGGTGGTGTACTGTCGGCGCCCCTCCGAGGAAGAACTGCACAAGCAGAAACTGCCGACGGCCCGCGCAGGGGGGGGGGCCCAGCGCCGACCCCAGAACCCCGCGCGGACCGTCAAAAGTTGTGAGATCTGCGCATGCTTTTCTTCGAACAGGCCCCGCCCGCCTGTGTTCTGTCTCCCCAATTCGTGCTCTGCGCGGCCCGCCCAGCTCTTGACCGGAAGAGGCTCCCTCTCGACCCGCAGACCCCCCCAAAAAGAGTTTCTCTCCGAACCTGAGGCCCCGTCCCCCAAAGGCCCCCATCCTGCACCCGTGCCCTTCCAGAATTAGGGCCCACCGGCCGATGGGCCTGCTCGTGTGGCCCGCTCGCTCGCTGGCCCCCCGGGCCCCCCTCTTTGGGCCGCCGAGAAGAGCCGCCCCTCCCCGTAGAAGCAGAGGTCGGGGCCCCTCTCCGCATAGCCCTCGGCGGCCGCCACGGCCACCATCTGCGTCCAGTTCGCCCGCCGCAGCCTGGGGCGGCGCACGCTCTCGGCCTCCCGGGACCCTCGCAGGCCCCCGGGACCGTCAGCAGACGGCTTGGGATGATGAGAAGCAGGTGGGGAGGGTGGGGGACCTCTGGGGGCCGACGTGACGGCCCACCTTCCCGGGCCCGGGCGGCCTCCTCGAGGGCCTCGAGGGGAGCCCCCGAAATAGCGCGCAGAGGCGGGGTCACCGTGGGCATGAGCGGCGAGCGTATCCATGTCCACGCCCTCGCGGTCTGGATTCCGTGGCGCGATCCCGTGGATATATCCAGTCACGTGGATGCGCTCCGCGCGGGGCATCCGCGGGAAAACTCCCCGTATACACGGGGTCGCGGCCCAAGGGCCTGGCCCGCAAGGCCGTTGGTACGGGTTTCCCGTCCACGAGCAGGTGCACCGCCAGGAGGTGCACTTAGGAGGCAACTTCTGGGAGGTCTTCGTAATAGCGATTCGGAGCCATCAAGCCAGATCGAAAGGCCACTATGCCATATTCGACCATACTAACTAAATTCAAGAGTACGCTCAAGATTGAGCCGGATTGATTATAAGTAAATGGAAGTAGACGGAACTATGCCGGATTAGGTCAGTTTCGACCACGGATGTACAAGCGCTGATGCTGAACTTGGCCTCCTATAGGAGTTGCATCCTGACGGGAGGAGCAGCAGCAGCAGCGGCAGACGCATGGATACACTCAAGCCGTGTGGGCGAGCAGGAGGAGCAGCAGCAGCCCGAGGGGGGGGAGGGTGAGGAAGAGGCGGCCTGGGCAGGTCAAAGATCTGGAAGGGCAGCTCCCGGAGCACGGGCGCTGCGACCATCTGCTCGGGGCCGAAGGCGCTGTGATGCACCAGCAGGTCAGCGGGGTCCGACATGAAGGCGAAGTCGCCCGCATCCACCCAGACGACGACCCTGGCCCCCGGCTCGCGGACGATCTCGTGGGGGAACAAGCGCAGGAAGCCGGGGCTGCCGTAGTGGTGGCTCCCCTCCCTGGCCTTGAAGTTCAGGCAGTCCGCCGGGAACATGGCCCTCACCCGCCGCCACACGTGCTCCTGCGCCTCCGCGCGGTAGAGCCGGAACTGCCCCCGGCTCCTCAGCCAGGGCTCCAGCGTGCCCAGGGCCCTCCGCATGTCCTCCTCGCCCTCCTCGTCGACGAGGAGGTGGAACCGGAGCGGCCTCGACCGCGCGAAGAAGAGCGCGGAGCGCACGCCGATGAGGGCCTTGCGGCCGAAGACGGGCTTGCCCACCGACGCCACCATGGCGATGTGCACGGGCTCCACCGAGGCGTCGAGCGGCGGTCTGCCCCGCGCCTCGCGCGCCTCGCGCGCCCAGGCGGCGCGGCTGCGCGAGTGCACGCCCGCCCAGAGCAGCCTCGATAGCTGCAGGGACCGACCCACCGTCGCGCCGAAGTCCCGGTGGCTGTCGGCCAGCCTCACCAGCAGGCCCTCGAGAAGGCGCAGCTCAAGCAGCTGCGCCCCGCCCGCGCTCTTGCGGGCGCCCGCCCGGGTCGCCGCCAGCCCGGCCCACTCCTCGGAGGATGCCAGAGGTGATCTTGGAACTTGGCCCACGTCGTGGTTGGGAGACATATCCGTATCCACGGCCTCGTGGGCCGGGCCCCCGGCCGCGACCCCGTGGACACGGAGCGCTGCTTGGCGGACGCCCCGCGCGGAGCGCATCCGTGCGACCGCATGGGTAGACCCTCGGGATCGCGCCCTGGAATCCAAACCACGAGGGCGTGGATGGGGATACGTTCGCTGCTCGTGGCCACGGTGCCCCCGCCTCTGCGCACCTCTTTGGGGGGAGGCCTTGCCCGGGCCAGGGGGAGCGGGGGTCGCGTCGGCCCCTACAGAGGTCCTGGACCCTTCCCCTCGGACTCGCTTCTCATCCCGAGCCGTTTTTTGACGGCCCTGGGGGCCGGAGAGGCAAGAACAAAAAAGAGAAGGACAGGGCAAGGAAGGGAAAGAGAAAGGCGCGAACCCCCGACCTCGACGATCGCGCGCGCGGACTGACATTCACGCACGCTCAGAGTGAGAGGGGCCAAGAGGACAAGAAGAACGACGACAGCTGACACCACAACAACGGCAACGAAAGGGCCCCAGGCGGCCGCCGAGGGCTCAGAAATGACCGTCGCGTTTTTCGCACGACGCGAAGGGGGCTGCTTGGATCACCGCTGTGGTTGCCCAAGGGATCGGGCGATTGCGAAGAGATGCCAAGGTGGCTTGTCAAAGCCTAACCTAGGTAAACAAACGGCCTAGGGGGCATAGATAACTCCGCTAAGGGCGGAGCCCATTTAGCCCGACCTCCATATGCCACTGGAGGTGCCTGTGACCCATTTTTAGCCAGGCCAGATATCAGCCACCCTGGCATCCACTTATGAACGCCTTGTCCCCGTGGCAACCTCCGCGGCGATCCGAGTGGGGTCTGGGCATGCGCCCCAGGCCCCCGATGTCATGACGCTTTCATGGCGCGACCTCCAAGAGGTCTGGAGCCATCCCCCGGGAACGGTTGTTCATCCCGAGTCGCTTCTTGACGCTCCCGAGGCCCAGCAAAGGCCCCCAGAGGCCGAAAATACCGAACCACTTTCTGTCGCGATGTTTGCCATGACTCGAGGGGGTCTGGCTTCGCGGCGCGCACAAAAGGGGGTAGGGGGAGGGGGGGAAGGCTTCTGACAAGAAGGCTGCTTCTTAGAAGTTGCCGGCTCTACACCTGCAGTCAAGGCCCGCGCCGCCTAAGAAGCAGGGGTGCTTCTAGGAAGCCTTCCCCTTTCCCCCATATTCGGCTACACGCAAGAGTGACCCTGGGCAAGAGTGACCTTTGGTGCGCGGCTTTTGGGGGGGCCGCGTGGGGACCAAACCTGGGCGCGCAAGCCGTTACTCCTGCTTCGTTTTCAGCCATCTGGGGACCCATCTGTGGCCGCACCAAAGGTCACTCCGGCGAAAGGTCACTCCCACGTCCAGTCGACCCATACCCCCCGCTGCGCGTGGCCGACCATGCCGGCGGCGAGACCCGGGCGTGCCCGCGTCCCGGATCGCCAGAGTCCTTCTTCAACAGGCCCGGAGCTCGGGTGCTGCCCCAGGCTTCCAGAGAGGCCCCCCACGGGCCTCCAGAGCTGAAGGGGCCCCAGGACACAGGAATAAATACACACACATAAAATGACTCCCCATATTTTCCCATACATGTTCTGGGTCTTTGTCTTCCCCCCCACTTCGCATATTTCCTCAGATTTTCTGGGGAATCGACGATGAATTGTGTCTGTGTGTTGTTTCCCCTCCTGAAGAGCACCCACCACGAGGCCCAGAGGGCCCTCTGGCCCCCTGGTGCACCCAGCACGAGGCGCAGGGGGGGCCCCTGGGGCCCTCCGGCAGAGGGCCCTCAGGGCCCCCCTCCCCTGCGCCCCTCTGCGCGTGGCCGGCTGGGGCCAAGGGCCGCCACACATGCAGGGCCCCCAGGGCACACAAATAGATACACACAAATAAAACGATTCCCAATATTTTCCTATATTTTTGGGTTTTTTGTCTCCCCCCCCACTTCCCATAGTTTCCCATCTTTTCCTGGGAATCGATGATCAATGGTGTCTGTGTGTGTTTTCCCCTCCCGAACACAGGTTGGCAGCCGGCCCCGTCGCTCCTCGAGCTGCGCCCGCACGGAGCCGGCCGGCAGCGCGTCCCAGAGGTGCCCCAGCACCTCGCTGGGCGCGAGTGCATTACTGGGGGGGGGGAACCCAGACCCCCTCGAGCCACGGAAAAATCGCGACGTGAGGTTCTTCCATATGTGCGGCCTCTGGGGGGGCCCTTCCTGGCCCTCGGGAGCGTCAGGAACACGACTCGGGATGAAAATCCAGTCCGGGCGGATAGGCCCGGACCTCTGGGGGTCGCGTCCTAAAAAACCATGACGTCGTTGTCTGGGAGAGGTGCCCTACGGGCCCCCCTCTGGGGCCCTAAAGGGCCCCTTCAGGGGCCCCAGGGGGCCCCTTTTCTGCAGCCCTCGCTGACCCCCTCCGTTTGTCGCCCCCCCCCCATTGCGCGTGGCCCAACCTCGGCGGGGCCGGCGCCGCCCAGCCCTGCCGCGGCCGGCGGCGCCGCTGCGCCCGCCAGCGCTGCCGCGGCCCGGAGGGCCGCGTCGACGATCGGCGGTTCAACAATCGACGGATTGAGTAAAGGATCGACGACCGTCGACGATCGTCGACGTCGACGATCCTTGAATCGATCCCGATCCCCACGGGCATGGCCTGGGCAGCACTGGGCCGATTTACGCCCCTATATAGGCTGTTCTCTTCGAGCTTCGAGGGATACGTAGCACCCCGCAATTGCGGATAAGAGTGAGGGGGCGGGCGCGGGCGACGCGGGCGTCGTCAAGCCGGCGGACCTCGTGGCCACCACCTTCCCTGTCGATGGCGCTCTCCTCCTCCTCCTCCGCCTCCTCCTCCTCCTCCTCCTCCTCCTCCTCCTCCTCCTCCTCCTCTTCCTCGTCCTCGTCCTCGTCCTCATCGTCATCGTCGTCCTCCTCCTCCACCTCGTCCTTCTCCTCCTCCTCCTCCTCCTCTTCTTCCTCGTTCTTCCTCTCCCCCCCTCGTCCTTCCATCATCGTCCTCCCATTGTCGT